TCTTTTCGACGAGGTGTTCTCACGAAAATCACAAAGTCCTTGAAGAAAAATGCTCCCACCACCACGACATTAAAAAAATCTGCATTGGTTGCTCTTAAAGCGGCAAGATTAGCGGTGAAGAGTGCAGGTGGAAAACATAAAGTTCGACTACCGAGAATAATTCCGATCGAAGGAAAATCTGGGGGATTCCTACCCTTGATCCCCCTTTTCGCCGGATTAAGTGCCTTGGGGGCGCTCGCAGGGGGAGCTGCAGGTGTGGCCAAAACGGTCGTTGATGCCAAGAATGCACAAAAGAAATTGGAGGAAGACCATCGCCATAACAAAGCTATGGAGTCTTTGGGCAAAGGATTGTATTTGAGAAAAAATGCTAAAGGTGGTTATGGGTTGTACCTCAAAAAAAAAAGTCAAAAAAACTAAACATCAAGCTACCCAAGAAAGCGCTTTATGATTATGAAATAAAGCAATATGCGAAGCTCTTGAACATACCTCATTTCCGAGGTGTCTTCATGCGTGACACTTTACCACGAGACGGTCCACGTAAAAGAGAATGCGCCGTCGTGAACTTAGATATTTCACAAAACAACGGAACTCATTGGGTAGCTTATAAAAAGATAAACAACAACGTTGAGTATTTCGATTCATTTGGTAACCTGAAGCCTCCACAGGAACTTGTTCGATATCTGAAAAACGCTAAAATTTTCTACAACAACGATCCTTACCAAACTTATAATCAAGTTAATTGCGGACAATTGTGTTTGAAATTTCTATACAATAACAATAACAACAACAACGATGGATAATAAAACATTATCGGAATTTACATTAGAAGAGTTTGAGAAGAATATTCCGCCGCTGGAATATTTAATAAGCAATGTGAGACCTGCAGAATTGTTGAGTATATGGCACAAACTGCCTGCAGAATACACATCCAATTTTGATCTTCAAATACGACTTCCATGCTATGTTCACTACAACAGACCTGATTGGGCAACACATTGGGATGGACCGGCTACTGCTCAAGCAAATTGTTATTTCTGTAAATTATCCATTCGAAAATAAACAAAAAAAACTTGAATAAATGCTTAGTACACAGCTATATTTTTTCATTCATCATGTCGCAGTTGTTGAGAGTCAATAGCACTACTCATATATTTTCATTTCGTCCTTCAACACCGATAGTGTTGGATCCGAAAAAAGATTATGAATTGGCGCTTAGGTCTTTTACTTCATACAATTCCATACCGAATATTGAAAAAGGAGATAAATTTTATTATATCGACCGGATAGGTGGTGGTCAATTAAAAGTCATCGAGTTTCCGACAGGCTGATATGAAATTACCGACATAGAAACATTTATACGAACGCAAATGAATCTTGAAAATGAAGTTGCTCCTCCGGATGATTATTTTTCTCTAAAACCTAACAATAATACACTGCAATGTGAAATCTTTAGCAAGTATTATAAAATAGTTTTTACAGAACCGAATAATCTTGGACATCTATTGGGATTCTCGAAAAAAGTTCTTAATCCTGGTCAAAAGAATTCTTCTGATTTACCTGTGAACATAATAAAAGTATCAACCATACACTTTGATGCTAACATTACGTCGGGAGCCTTTGACGGAGACACGCCTGCACACACGATCTACGAATTTGCTGTGACAGCCGATCCTGGATACGCTATAGTCGAAACACCTGTAAATTTACTATATCTACCTGTTACACCGAAACAAGAAATAACCAACATCACAGTGTTGGCTTTAGATCAAGACGGTCGTCCTGTAAACTTTCAAGGTGAAACTAGTACTCTTGTGTTGGAGTTGAGAGCGAAGCGCCGATGGGATTAGTGATTATAAGACATAGTGGTGCTTCCAAGGCAACTTCAGTATTACCCCAAGCACCTAAGCGACGACATCTACTACTAACTACATCAAATATCCTGTTTCTACGCTCACTTGGATATCATGTCAACAACAACAAGAATCATGTACAAAAAGAGAAAAACTGAGGAGGCAGCAGCAGCAGCATCACATACTTCTCCGATGTTTGATCTATATCGATCTCCAGCATTCGATGAATCTATTCGCAAGGCTGAGTATAGATCTTATACGCCGTTCATCAAGTCATTTAATTGTAATGATGTTGTGGAATTTCGCATCAATCAAGTAGATTCGTTCTTTGCAATGAACGCTTCCCTTCTATCTATCAAAGGGAAAGTTGAAATAACTGGAGGAGCAGCAGGAGATGTATCTTTAGCTCCAAGCTTTGGTGCCTTCCTATTTGACTCTTGCACTTACAGTGAATCCGCTAGAGAACTTGAAACAGTACGTGATCCTGGTATTGTAAGTACTGTCCGAGCTTACGTATGTTACAGTGAGGAAGACTCAAATCATATGGCTATAGCTGGATGGAACTATCCTTCAACACCTATAATGGCGTCAACACATAACAAGTCTTTTAGCTTGCTAATGCCGCTTAAACATATTTTCAACATTTTCAATGATTATCCTATGATTACGTGTGGCAGACAAACTCTCAGATTTGTGAGAGCTAGAAACGATAACGATTGTATCATTATCAAGGAAGAAACTGGAACGACGACGACGGCGAAAATAACTATTGAAAGCATGGAACTGAAAATCAAACATATTTACCCGAGTGATGATGTGAAAGAACAACTTTTAAAAGCTATTCAAACTGATAAGCCGATACTTATACCATTTAGAAAATGGGATCTGAACGAACTGCCTGCAATTACCGCAGATGCGAGAAGAGAAATATGGTCAGTTAAAACTAGCACCGCAATAGAAAGACCACGTTTCATTATAGTATGTTTCCAAACTGGTAAACGTGACGTCGCAACCTCAGACCCGACCCTGTTTGATCACGTGAATGCTGCTAGTATTCGAGTATCTTTAAATGGTGAATACTATCCCAACGAACGTATGCAATTGGACTTTGCAAACAATCACTTTACTGAAGCTCATTTCAACTATAGCGATTTTCAAACCAGCTATACAACTTCTTCTTCTCTGAAGAGATGTCTTTTAGATTATACCGCTTTTAAAAATCGAGCTTTGTTTGTTATTGACTGTTCCAAACAAGAGGAAACCATGAAATCATCAACTGTTGATGTTAGATTGGATATCGAAGCCGATACTGGCTTTCCAACCAACACCAAGGCCTACTGCATCATTATACATGATTGCTTAATCGAGTACTTCCCCCTCACCGAAGTTATTAAAACTATCTCGAAAGCAACGAAGGACTCTCAGTTCCGCATCAGACATCATGAGGATCGCGTTTGTTGACATTCAAGGCTTTACAGTTGACGGATTATTCGTACCTAAAGAACTATGTATCGAAATTGGTTTCAAGAAAAGTCATTACATCTTTACACCTCCGCAACCTTTTTCTCCATTAAATACTAAAGACAAGAAAACTGTCGCTTACTTGGAGAAGAATTTCCATGGGCTTAAATATTCTTCCGGCGACGTTAAATATTCCAAGTTAAATGAAATAATTAGAAATAAGGTGATATATGCGGCTGACTATGTCTACGTTCGTGGAGAACAGAAAGCAAACTTTTTACTCAAGAAATGTCACATTTTTGGTGTTTTTCCCAACATTATTGATGTTTGCAAGTATGATGGTACACCGTGTGCTACTGGAAACTTTGTTGCTGATTCCAATCCATGTCACACCAACGGACAATTTTCCTGTACCCAGAGAAATGTTGAACGTCTACGCCACTGGTTTTCAAATATCATATTACCTATGTAGTTTTTTTCTATTTTCAATAAAATATTAAACGTATTATTGTAGTTTTATTGAAAATACCTCTGGTTTGCGAAATAATATTGTCGGAATTTCTTGTTTCAAGTTGTTCAAGCGGATATTCAAAACATGGCACACACACACACACACCAATCAACCTTATTGTTATATATACTATATGTTTCAATAAAATATCCATTATACTATTTTCATTTTGAACGGTATCATCCTGTATAATAATAACAGTACATCGTATACAGGTTATGAGACATTCTGACCGACCGACCGACCAGAGGAGCCCACCACGCTATTTAGGTCACGCCTTGCTATATACGATTTAACGATATACCGTCGGTCCATCGATCCGCTATTTTTCGATGCACCCCTGTATACACGTTCTAAATGCCCCCCGTAATCCACGCCAACACCAGACAGGTGCGACATCGGCGCCATCTATGCGCGAGATGCCCAACCCATCAATGGCAGCTGTCCAATGACACATAGATTCCGTTTGGTTTGTACAGCGCCAAATAAATCGGCGCCATCTATGCGCGAGATGCCCAACCCATCAATGACAGGTGTCCAATGACGTATAACAGATGACGTTTTAACGCCATCTATGCGTGAGATGCCCAATGACGCATGACAGGTGTCCAATGACACACAGATTCCGTTTGGTTTGGCAGCGCCATCTAGCGGCGGAATCCCCAACTCATGAATTTCGCATACAGGTTCCGTCCAACAACCTGTCAATGGCGCGCGACGCCAGCGCCTCTGGTGGCCGATTTTAGAACTACTGAGATTCAATCCCCATAGACCATCTACTAATATCTTCAACTTACTTGGAGGCAATGGGATGTATGTGCACTTATATCTCTTTGCCTCCAAGTTATAGACCAAATAAAGCAATTGCGTGCGAGTGTACTGCGTATTTATGACAGTGCTTTAAGTAATATTATTGTTGTTTTTACAATAACTATTCAATAATATCAGTGAATATTATTCGTGTCAATCATATTATGATGGATTTTGAGTTAGATGGTAAGTACGATAAAAATCAAGTTGAAATTAGATGTTTTTTAGGTTAGGAAGTAGAGTTTTATTTTTCTCATATGTTCATGGTTTACGATGTTCCAAATTTGCTTTGTATTCTTGTATTCACTTTTTTTTGTTGTGTCTTTGTTTTTTTGAGGTGGATTTAAATTCCTATTGTTTTTTCGCAGAACCTGTCGATGATAGCGATCTAGATCGCGACTACCACCCAGATAAATCTTCATCTATGAGTGAAGCAGAGTCGGATGAAGGCGATTTAGGCAATTACCAGATAAAGCGTAGCAGGAAAAGGGTTCGAAACGAGTCATCTTGGATAAGGAATAAAGCCAGGAAGTTCAGGAACAGTGGTGGGGAGTTCATCGGTCATAGGAAATTGCTAAAACCAGCAAGAGCCGTTCAAGATCTGGCAGATCATCACTGTCGATACCAGTGTAATAGTTTTTCAAATGAAGATCGCCAACAAATCTTTGAAGACTATTGGAATTTGAGCTCATGGAATCTTCAAACGGCATTTCTTACCGCTTGTATGGAAACACGTGCACCTTTGAAAAGAAAATTAGGTGTTGAGCCACGTAAACAGGTGAGCGTTCAAATAAAATTAGTGGGAAAAAGAGTGTGTAAACTCTTTTTGTTGAAAACTCTGAACATAAGTCAGAAAAGATATGACGTTTTAAAAAAAAGAAACCGCACAGGCGTAGCGCCAACTGACCAACGTGGTAGGCATACCCCAGCAAATAAGATTTCGGACAACGATATTGCAATAATAAAGGGCCACATTAAGTCATTTCCAAAATACTCGAGCCATTATTCACGTGTCAAAAATCCGCATACAAAATATTTGTCAGGCGAACTAAGCATCCACAAAATGTATAACCTTTACTTGCAGTATTGCCAAGAAAATAACATTCAAAACCCTGTTAAAGAGAGCTTTTATAGATTTATTTTTACAACGCAATTCAATCTTCGTTTCAAACGGCCCCACACTGATACATGTACAATATGCGATATCCTTGAAAATAAAATCAATAACGACAATAATCCTGAAGTAGTGAATGATAGTAAGATCCAGAAAGAGATTTATTTACGAAAAGCTGAACAGGCTAGATCAGCTAAAAATGATGTCAAGAAATTGGGCAAGGATAATCCAAATACTGTAAATGCAATATGTTTTGATCTAGAAAAAACTCTCCCCACGCCTGTATTAACTTGTAGTAAGGTCTTCTATCTGAGACAACTGTGGACTTATAATTTTGCAATACATAATCTTGCAAATGATCAAGCATCAATAACGCAGGCGGTCAAAATAAAAATAACAACATTATAAAATTTTGGAGGCATATTGTTCAGACAACCTCCATTTGTAGAATTGACCACAAATTTTTAATTTCTGGTCACTCTTATATGGAGTGCGACCAAGATTTCGGGCTTATCGAGAAGTCAAAGAAGAAAAATCAATATGTTTTTGTCCCGGATAAATAAAATAAGCTTTATAGTGTAAGTATTATTCAAAAATTAAGTGCTAAGGGGTGTAAGTAATACCATCGCTTTACTGTACGCCCTGTATTTTTGGAATAACCAGCTCAATGGCATTAAAATCTATAAAAATAATCTTTTACAGCATATTGGAAAGTGAAAAAAACTATATTGAGTATTTTGAAATACCCGTGATTTTTTTACACAAGTTAAACTTTGAACCTGTTTTTCTCAAAATGCTAAAACATGCACTTACACCCCTTTGCTTCTGACCGCCTCATATACATTCTAGTCATACCCCAAAAAAAGGATGGTCAGATGATAATTATGACAAGGAACTAAAAACGCCTTTATCAAAAGGACAACGAATGATTATTGTGCATGCTGGTGGAGAATTCGGCTTTATTCCTAACGCCTTGTTGATATTTAACTCAGGTATTATTTGTGTTACAATGATGTAAAATATTTCCAATATATTTTTACATTTACTGGAATATATGTATGTATTTTATTTTCAGGCTCAAAATCTGGGGACTACCACAACGACATGAATTATTTGAACTTCATGAAATGGGTAGAAAGCCAATTGATCCCAAATTTGCCTGAAAATTATGTGCTTGTAGTTGATAACGCTTCTTATCACAATGTCCTGGAAGAAAAAAATGTAACCTCTTCTAGCCTGTAATCAGAGATGATTGACTGGCTAGAAAAACATCAAATTCCTAGTGAAAACTCATTGACTAAGGCCGAACTATATAAAAAAATACAGGAAAATAAAAGAAGATTTCCAGTCAAATACGAGGCTTGTCCGTAAAATAAGTTCCAGCCAGGCAACAGAGGCAGATTGTTTGGTTCCCCCACTCCAATCCCTCACCAAGCCAGCGTCGCTGCGACGTTTAGTCTTGGCTCAGCAGCCGTCAGCGATGGAGCTTCCTCTTGCGTCTCCCGCCAGCTGCGAGTTGCGGTCTGTTATTCGTTTCCTGGCCGCTAAGAAGAAATCGGCGAAGGAAATTCACGAAGAACTTTGTCAAGTGTATGGAGAAGACTGTATGAGCTGCGGGATGGTGCGCAGATGGGTCAGGGACTTTAAAAATGGCCGAACAGACGTCCAAGATGAAGCCCGTGCAGGGCGGCCATCGGTTTCCGACGAAACAATTGCCAAAGTCGAAGCGGCAATGCTTGAAGATCGACGGATTACAGTTCGGGAGCTGTGCACAAAGATTCCGGAGGTCAGCAAAATCACAATTGACAAGATTTTGACTGAACATTTAGGCTATTCAAAGGACTGCGCAAGATGGGTACCAAGAATGCTCACTGCAGACCACCGGCGGCAGCGGGTTGAAGCGGCCCAAGAATTTCTCGCTTTTCACGGAACAACCGAAGAGGAATTTCTGGACTCTATTGTTACTGATGACGAGACCTGGGTACACTACACCACACCGGAAACAAAGGAGCAATCGAAGCAGTGGAAGCACTCTTCTTCACCAAGAGCAAAGAAGTTCAAACAAATCCTGTCTGCCGGGAAAATCATGGCTAGCGTTTTTTGGGATCGAAAGGGCGTATTGTTGTGCGAGTTTATGGCTCGCGGGACAACAATCAATGCTGACCGGTACTGTGAGACCTTGAAAAAACTTAGACGTGCCATTCAGAAGAAGAGAAGAGGAATGCTGACGAAAGGAGTGCGTTTTCACCATGACAATGCCCGACCGCATACCGCCAATCGAACCACAGCCCTCATCGAAAGATTTGGATGGAAAATGGTATCTCACCCACCCTACAGCCCAGACTTAGCACCAAGTGACTTCCATCTCTTCCCCGAGTTGAAGAAAAACCTTGGCGGAACCCAATTCCAGACAGGTGAAGAGGTGCAAACCGCGGTTGTTAGTTTTCTACATGGACAGGCGGCAGAGTTCTATGACTCTGGTTTGAAGAAGTGGGTGCCTCGAATGCAGAGATGCATAGAACGCAACGTCGATTATGTAGAAAAATAAAAGAAAGACTGAACTTTCCAAAAATGTATTTTCTTTGCAATTAAACCAATTTTTTGATATGAAAAAAATTTGTGGAACTTATTTTACGAACACGCCTCGTACAAGCTAAAGTGTATCTATAGTCAACGCCAAACAAAGTGGCGTGCACGTCATCACGATAAAAATTCCCCGACCTAATGCCTAGGTTTCTATCACAAACAATTGATCTATTGCAGTTTCATATTAATGTGATATATAAATTGTAAAATGGTCATTACTCTCTTATTATGGTTAATAGTCATATAAACATTGTTATTAAAATATCACATAAGATGCTTTCTGATAAATTTAGACGCATTATGCGAAATAAAATGTTTTGCAAACGCTCCAATCACTTATCGACATGTAAACGCACTAAACCGATTTCGCAGCGTTGACACATTGTCACCTTGAAACTTATTTAAACTGGGAACTGACATTTGTATTAATTTTGACACTGAATCAATTTGTGGCATTTCAAATCTTTATAAATCCTTTGGCCCCGCATACTGTAAATCAACAACTGTTTGTTTCAAAACAAAATTATTCATTTTACGAGTAGATAAAGGCAATTTTGGTATATAAAGATGCCCAAACAGTTAAATAGTCGGTGTAAGGAACTCGTGGCCTCGTTAATGCACTACTTTGAGCAAGAAAGGGACAACAACGGGCCTTTGTTGCCTTTAAATGCTGTTCAAGAGGTAGGTTACTAATAATTATATGTAATGTATATTAATAATAGTGAAATTTCATTTCATTTTTTGTAGCGTGTTGCTGCTGCTTTAAAAATTAGTTTAAGGACAGTTAGTCGTATTTCCGAGGGTGTGAAAAGTGATGCAAATTTAGAATCGCCCAAGAAAAAGCGGAGTTATATTAAACGTGTAACCAACACAGCGACATTGGATACAAGTGCCATTCGAGAATGATCTATAATATGTATCACAAAAGTAAGATCTTATTATAATAACTTATCAGAAATATGCATTAATTTGTTAACTAAATTATAATGTCATATTACACATGGTTTCAGAAGAACAAGTTACGATACAAACTTTATGGTCTCGATTAAGAGATAGGGCTAAATTATTTGATGGTAGTGCGGTTGCTTAGAGATCTTGGATTTAAGTGGCTTAAGGACAATCCGCGTGGAGGGCTCATGGAACTACCAAGTATAGCTTTGAAAAGGGTGGAATTTCTAAGGCAATACAATCAAGCCAAGGTTGAGGCCTTATACCAGTTTGTCTTCCTCGATGAAACTTGGATATTTCAAAATGGGACCATAGGTCGCTCTTGGCAAAATGGAAACCAAAAAAGCGTGAAAGCTATTAAAACAGATGGTAAAGGTATGTACTTTTACACAATTTGCACTATAAAATTTAAAACTAATATATTTTAGATACATTATATTACATGCTGGAAATGAAAATGGGTTTATTGAGGGTAGTGAAGCGATATTTTCTTCGAAAACAAAATTGAGCGATTACCATGGAGAGATGAACCAGGACAATTTTTTGAAATGGTTTCAACATCAGTTATTAGAAAAATTGGAGAGTCCATCTATGATTATACTGGATAACGCCCCTTATCACAGCATGATATTGAACAAAGTGCCCAACAATGCATGGACAAAAAAAAATATCCAAGACTGGTTGACAAATCAAAACATACCATTTTTAAACACAATGTTTAAAACAGAGCTATTGAGTATTGTTGCTCGGTACATAATGCTTCTTAATTATATATATTTTGGTCGACAGTTTATATTTCTTTTGTTTATTCCTATTCTTAAAATAACTGCTTTTTTAGAAACAAACCACCTAAAATATACGTGATTGATGAATTGGCGGAACAACATGGGCACAAAGTTCTTCGTCTGCCTCCTTACCATTGTATATTTAACCCTATTGAGTTAATTTGGGGCATAGCAAAAGGTTACTATAACAGACATATTGGTAGAGATGGTAACAGTGGAAAAGACTGTTTGGATATGTGGAACGAGGCTCTACAAACGGTTACCCCAGACACGTGGAAAAATAGTGTTCGACATACTGAGCAAGAAATTTTTAAATGGTATGAAAGAGAACGAATTTTTGATCGACCAGACATCGAACCTTTAATAATCAACTTTGAGAGTGATGAAGATTCAGATTCAGACAGCGCTGAAGAAAGAAACTCCGACTAACTTTATTGTACAGAAAAAGCTTACACCAGTAGCTTACCTAATTTTAGAATGCATTTTTCTGTATGAATTCTGTAAAATAAATACCATGCATAAAATTTGGAGGACCCCATTTGGATTTTTATTCAGTACCTTTAAGCTATCAATTAAATATGGTAGTTTCATAGTGTCATCTGATCAATAATTGTCATACTTAATGATTATGCAAGTACAGATCTATAATTTTATTATACTATTATTTTTGTTCTCATTTGAGGTTAATATTGCTTATAAACCTAGATATGTAAATAATAAATTTTATTATTTTACAAAAAGTTTGGCAACAATGTAAATTTTTCAACACACCCACCTTGATGACGTGCACGCCACTTTGTTTGGCGTTGACTATAAGGCCGGTTGCACACACGACGGATTTTGCCGCGGCGGACATTTGACCGTCGCCGCCGATTCAGCAGTGGCGCTCTGGAGTAGATTAGAGATTACACATTAGGCGGACAAATAAACGATCGGTCAATTTGCCGTTAGCGGTAGCGGTGCAAACGCCAACTGCCACTGGAGCCGACGTTTTTTTTACCGTCGACGCCCAGTAGTGGCCTACGTGACCAAATGCACGATTGCACACACGTCGGTTATTCTACCGTTGGATTAGTTTATTCCAGGGTGTTTTGATTTTTAAAAAGATTTGCAAATTTTGAAAAAGGAACAGTTCCGATTTTAGGTATAATAAATAGCAACATGAGTGACGTGGTTGCAGATCTGGTTATAGATAATGATATTTTAATTTCATTAATCGAAGAAAGATCTGTCTTGTGGGATAAAACCCTCGACATATTTAAGGACAGAGATGCCACGAGAAACGCTTGGCGTGAAGTTTGCCTGGGATTGCATAGCGACTTTGATCAATTGACTGAAAAAGATAGATCTGTTTTTGGTAAGTATCTACTTATTTATTATCATGCAAGATATTAAATCAAAAAAAAATTGGTTGCTACGCCCATTTTTGCTCAAAACTCGTTGAAAATTAACATTAAAAATATGCAAAAGGTATACCCAAAGGCGTGAATTTATATGCGAATATTATTATCTAGAGCCGAAAATTATTAAACAATAAAAAAATTATTAAATACATATAATATTGGAGTATAAAGGTGAAAATATCGTTGAAAATCTAATGCAGGACTTTTATGTTTTCTTATTTTTTAACGCTTAATAGATAAATTTCAACAATAAACAGTAGAAAACAAGGTATCCTAGTCCTATTATTTATGCCTAAGTATATTACACCAAATATGTGAACATTGATATTTTATTTTGATTAATTGCCTAATGCAAATACGCATAAAAAAGACTCAATTTAGGGAAATTTAGCATTTATAGCGAGTAAAACTGAACTCTGACACTTCATATGATGAAGTATTCTTCATCTTTGTCTTGTAGGAAGTATAGCATTTTCCAATTGTATTGGCAGTAGCGGATAAGAACAACGAAATCGCAAATCGTTCTTCTGTTTTGCTCAAAAATAAAGCTAACCTGTTTATTACAATTTGTTACACTTTTAAGACTGAGTGATAGTAACGTTCAAAATTGTGTTTAACAAATTAAAAATGTGTCGTGATTTTTGTTTTCTAGTTGTTTTTTTATACTATTATTATAATTATAAACTGTCAGAATCTGATGGTTATCTATCAGAATGACCTTTTAAATTTTGGACATCTGCCATGGAACACTTCCTACACTTGAAACAAAATATTGACATAGAATGTTTCTTATATTATTTGCTCTAACACCTCCTCTTGTAGTATTCTCTCCTTGAACTTCTTCTAGCCCTATGATTGTCGTTGTATCCTCAATCCTGTATCCGTCTCTGTCTCTAACATAGTTATGGAGAATAATGCAAGCTTTAACAATATCATTAGCAAGTTCTGGTTGGACGTTCAAGGGTCGATGAAATATTCTCCATTTGTTGCTGAGAATACCGAAAGCGCATTCGATATACCTTTTTGCTCGACATAATCGATAGTTGAAGATTCTCTTTTCCACGGTTAAATGTGTCCCACCATAGGGCCGTAGCAAATGTTTATGTAACCCAAATGCTGCATCCCCAACAATAAAATATGGCACTTTCGGACCTTCTGTGCCTGGTAGACACTTCTCTTCAGGAAGATTGTTTGAACTGCTTTCTATTGATTTCCACAGCTGAGTCTGTTTAAACACGGATGAGTCACATTCTTTGCCATAGCTACCAACGTGCATAAAAACAAAACGGTACTTGCTATCTGCAATACCCATTAGCACAATTGAATGGTAGTCTTTATAATTAAAATACATAGATCCACTATGTACTGGATTGACGATGCGGATATGTTTCCCGTCTACTGCCCCTATACAATGAGGAAAATTTGCTGCTTGTTCAAAGCCATTTGCTACTGATTCCCAAACTGCCTTGGTGGGGGAAGGTATGCACCCGCTATGCATAACCTTCCACAGCGCTTGACAAACATCTCTAACTATTACTCTTGCTGTTGAGATCCCTACTCTGAAGGAATAATGAAGATCGGTGAAAGTACATCCACTTGCTAGATATCTGAAAACAAAAATCTAAATAAAAAAATAAACTACTGATAAAATTAATCAGCACAACAATATGTTTCGTCATTATAAGAGACTTCAAACAAATACGAGTCTAGTTAAAATGTGGTTTCAACACCCAGTATATCGGTCAGGAGGATAATAATCTGTGATTAACGGATTGACCTACCTTTTTGTAACAATCTGTATATTGCTTGCTTAAACTTTTAAGTTTGCTAAAAGAACTCTATCGCACCGATTGCAGCTAGCTAGTGTAGACCGAAATAAATGTGTTTCTTTTGTAGGTAAGGAAGTTTTGAAACGATGGAAACATCTACGTGACGCCTTCGCAAAAGCTGAAAAGAAGGCAAAGCAAAACTAGTGGCGCTAAAGCTACCAAAATAAAAAAATACATATATAACGACGAACTGCAGTTCTTGAAAAAAATATATGATAATCCAGAGACTACAGAGAGTTTCGTCACAAAAGACAACAAGGAAATCGACGCCTCTGGCCACCAACCTCCTGAGAGCCCGCAGAACACACGACATGAAATACGCCAATCAACAGTAAGAAAGGAGAAAGCTCTTTCCAATGGTCAACCACCAAAAAGACGTAAGAAACTCGACGAAGTAGATTTGAAGATTTTAAATGCACTGGAAAACAAAGAACCTGAGAATCCAAACTCACAAATGTCCTTCTTTCAAAGTCTGCTGCTGCACACAGAGACTTTTGATAGTGATCAATGGCTTCAATTCCAAATGGAGGTTCTACAGGTCATTTCTAACATTAAGAATCAAAAGTACGCAGCTCTTCAAGGCTACACTACACAACGCGCTCCCCAGTTTCAGCAGCAGAGTCAATCAATGCCATACCATTACCAACCACAAACCTTTCCACAGTCACCTCAACAATGTTTCACAACTCCTAAGAATAATTCGTCCAACTCACGCCAGCCACATTTCCAACTTAACGACCCACCATCGCTTCCGTCAGTTTCTTCTCAACATGCACTACCTACTCAACCACTCCAACCAAGGCAAAATCACCCACCTTTAACAACTTCATATTCGTATCCCCAACAACCTCCACCTTTTGACCCAAAATCGACTTCCTCACTTTCTCAAAATGACCTGTCTACTCCTCGATACCAACCAAGGCAAAAAAATCATAAAACTTTCATAACTCTGATTCCGTCTCGCCCACAACCTCCAGCTTCACCAACACCGACACCCTCACCTTCTCCTCAAAATGACCTGCCCACATCACCAGCCCCATCAATGTACGACAAAGGAGTTACAGCAGCTGACCACTACGAAAACTTTTCTGACTTCCTTGAGGAAGACGACTGTGCAAGAAGTTCATCAGTGGTTTCCCAAAATTCTAGCATAATGGACTCCAACTTCTAATTCTACATTGTATTCTACATTATATTAGATGTTGTATATCGTCGCTGATCTGGCAAAGTGGCTAAGCGTCAAAATTTCAAATCTGTCTTATATGTATGCCAGATCGTATATTAACAAACTAGGAAGCTTCTGGTGTGCCCAAAATCAATTTGATTTTTTTTTGACGCTCACACTACTTAGCCCGATCAACGGCGATATTTAATAACCCAACATTTTCCTATTGCCACGTGCCATATACCGCAGCAAATGTAAAACACAAGTTTCTATTTTAACTATTACTATCATTAGGCATCAATATTATTATTCTCAGCATTTTCTTGCCATTTTTTATAAACGAATATTCAGGTGCATATTCACCTAAAAAGCGAGCATGAGCGAGCAAGCATTATACATCAACAATCGACTAGTGGGAACAAACATTTCTTTGTTCGCGTTCACTAGTCGATTATTGATGCAGCATGCTTGCTCGCTTATGCTCGCTTTTTCGGTGGATACACACCTCAAAGAAGTATCAGTGAATCTAAAATGTTAATTTTTAACGGTACTGAATTACCAATTGTATTATTATATTATTCCATTCATAATTATTTCAAATAAAAATTAAGGAAAAAAACAGTAAATTTAAATTTTTACGTACCTCAGTGTTATTGCCAGCATTTCTATGGGCTGAATGCAATTCCTCATTTTCGTATTTTTGCGCTGAATGCTATCTTTTAATCGCTCATGCAGTTCGTCAAAGGATGTAATCGACATTCTGAAGTAATTGAAGAATTTTGTGTCATCGTTCCTTAACTGTTCAAACAATGTGTAGAAGGTCCCAACTTTCTGCCTCATTTTATTAATTGGATGAACCCATATGAACCGATTGTTTCCTCTTCTTTTCATTCGACGACGGAATAACAATAAAGCTATGAGTTGTTTTCTGTTCATTTGCAAAATATTATATATTTCGATAAAAACGCAGCTATTTCCGTGTAAACAACTCCACCCGCGGTCAAGTCGTGAATCCAGCAAAAACAGAGTGTGCGGCGGTGACAACCGCCGTGTATGTATATGTGGCTAACTCTGTGGGCGGCGACGGTCAATTGTCCGCCGCGGCAAAATCCGCCATGTGTGCAACCGGCCTAACGAAGCTACAAAGTAATCGTAAACAGTGGTTGATTCGTGATCAACGCGTGATCGGTAGCCATGGCGCTCTGTCGGCCTCTTCCTGATTGGCTTGTAGCGACGAGCCTCCAGACTAAGTCGCACGGTTGCCACGCTCGGCGAGTTTTCGCCAGAGTGGTTGATCACATTCGCATGGATCACAAATCAATCTGTTGGTGCAATACGTGCAATAACTGTTGTAAAGGACATTATATAACAATAAATGGCATCACAAAGGTATATTCCAATTTGATCTGCAGCAAATTATGAACGGCATATACGGAGATGCGAAAACAAGCTCAAAAAGGTGAAGAAAATTTTTGTGCAATCTTTATAGTTAAATTTTTCCTAAGAGATAGCATCAGTGAGGAAACTTTTTTCTATTGTCTTATTTTTCACATTAATGCGATGTCGAGGTATGTGGCCCTATCGCAATTGAAAATAAGGTTTCGATAATCCTTCCATAAAGTTTCGATGAGTACATCTGAAATAACCTTGAGATATTCTTCAGGGAAATACAAAAATCTCCTTTTGTGTTTTTTTGTGCAGATTTATCTATTAAAATCCTATCCGCAATCTATTTTCCGTGCACACACCTTCAACCGAATGTATGCCATATATGATATTACCGTTTCCAACTTTCACCAAGGTTAATAGGAACCATAATAGCTCCCTACCCTTCCCCCCTATAAGAATATCGATTTGTAGCCTCACATTTCAAGGTTAGACTTCTTGTAATGTTTCTGTTCAACATTCGGCGATTTCTGACAATTTTCCCAATAAAACATGATCATTGTGACATTAAGCCTGGCAACGCTGCATAGTAGAGGGAACTCTCAGCGTCACGTTGATGGTTCGTCACCACGCACAGGATTGTAATCAGTTACGGATACCCGTTTATGAGCGCGAACGTTTTATGCACGTCTTGACTTGATTTTTCTTGCGGAAATTTAATATTAGTCTAAAATGTCTGACACAGATACAGCTGATGAAGTGGTTGAAATCAGCTTAACGCCACCCAGAAAAAGGGCTAAAAAGCTTCATCTTAGCGCAGGTGAAAAACAAATTATTCTAAATATCTACACGAACCAGATGCAAGAGAATAGTGGATTGGCTATAGAAAATATCGTATGTAAGGTTGCTGAAATTTCTGGAGTAGGTCGATCAAGTGTTTACAAAATCTTGAAGGAATATAGACAAAATCACTCACTATCTGAGCCAAAAACATATCCAGCGAGAAAAAATATCATCGAAAAAATAGATGACTTTGACAAAAGTGCCATTAGAAGAAAAGTACATCACTTTTTCTTCAGGAATGAAATACCTACAATAGATAAAATATTGAAGCAAGTGAATGATGATGAGGACCTGCCAAATTTTAAAAGATCGACGTTCCATAAGCTGTTGAAAGAACTAGACTTTCGATTTTTGAAAAGAGGAAGGAATAGTTTATTGACAGAAAAGGAGGAAATTGTTATCTGGAGGAGAGATTACCTTAGAAAAATTAGGCAATTCCGCGCTGAAGGAAGAAAAATTTATTATTTAGACGAAACATGGGTGAACGCGGGGCATACGCAGGGAAAGGTTTGGGTAGACAGATCTGTGAGGTCCTCAAGGCAGGCTTTTTTAGATGGCCTTTCGACGGGATTGAAAAATCCTGCAGGTAAGTTTCGAAGTATATGAACTTTTTTGGATGCAGATAATTCATTTTCTGATCGAATCAATGATTTGGAAGCTCCGAACTCAGTTTTGCTATCTCATCCAAGTTTCTGAGTATTTCCTTCACCCAAAAACTAATCTAAGACCCTATCCTACACTAACCTAAAAAGAGTAAGTTGCTTAATTTCGTCATTTAGTGCGCTCGCTGAGAAGTAAAATAACTAATTACTTTCAGGCAAGGGAAAACGCCTGATCATTTGCCACATAGGTAGCGTAGATGGATTTGTTCCTGAAGCATTGTGGGCATTTGAATCCAAAAAAACTGGAGACTATCACGAAGAAATGGATGGTAACTCATTTGAAAATTGGTTCAAAAAAATTTTGCCGACAATTATTGTGATGGATAATGCCCCGTACCACTCCAGAAAATTGGAAAAAATTCCAACAATGGCCACCAAAAAGGCAGACATTCAACAGTGGCTTGTCTCAAAGAAGATCGACTTCGACCAAACAATGGTCAAAGCTGAGCTGATAAATATAGTCAAGCGACATAAGTATAAATATGATTTAAAAATTGTTGACGAAATGGCCAAAAACCAAAATAAAACGATTCTCAGGCTGCCTCCCTATCACTGCGAACTGAATCCTATCGAGTTGATTTGGGCCAACATCAAGCAATACGTGGCGTCAAATAACAGCACTTTTAAGTTTTCTGACCTTAAAAAACTATTTGATGTTGCTGTCGATAGAATTACGCCAGCAAAATGGAGAACATGTATTGACCATGTCCAAGAGAAGGTTGAAACCAAAATGTGGGATATGGACAATATCATTGACACCCAAGTTGAACCCCTTATAATTGACATCAACAATTCTGATGATTCAAGCTCCTCGGAATACAGCATATAAATCGACTGATACCATTAAGACTGGTAGTTTAACGGACTTTTTGGCAAGACAGGTAAGTTCATTATAGACTGCAATCAAAGTGTAAGTTTCTAGTTATTAATGTGGAAATTCCAAATTTATAATTACACAAAATTAGGGTTAATTTAGGAGTTCCAAAGCATAATAGTGCCATTTTGACCTTCTTCCTATTTCTCATGTAAATTTTAATAGCAATCAAACTAACAAACTTTATGGAGTCTGTAATAAACTTTTGTGCTACTACTACTACGTCTGTAGTTTCTATTTGCTCAAAAAAATTTGCTCTGCATTGTGAATAGAAGGTTGATTTGTAAATATTATTGGGTATATATGCAAGTTAATAATAAAATATGAACAATTTCAATTGAGATGGTCCACAAGTTTTTTTCGTGTGCGTTTTAGTAACATTTTGCTGAAATGGTGAATACAGAATTTTTTGCACTGATTCCTAATGTCGAAATATGATTAGAAAGGCGTGGTATATTCCTGATAATTTACTATGCTTTTGATAGAATTTACAGAAACACATATCTTGTACGACATTTTTTGATAGATCAGACACAATAGCTTGATACGGCCCTGTAGCGTCTCCTACGGTTAAGTTCTTGATCACGTGCAATACGGGTGTATGTTTGATTTCACTTTGTTTCTCCGATGGATACAGCTTAGATAATGTATCTGCCACGGAATCTTTAGACGATGGAACCTTGTTCGAACTACGGCAGAAAATTGAAAGAATAGACGCGGCAAATGAGGAATTTGCAAAAATACAGTGCCAAATTGAATCTTTAGTTCTTGATGATGATCTGGATGAGCAAATCGCGGAGCGTGAAGTCGTAGAAAACTATTTTGATCGCTATTTGGGTTTGGCAAAATCGATAATAAACGACAAATCAGAAGAAAAGTCTGGCAACAGCGCGAATTCCGTCCCTTCCACTGCGAGCAGCGCGCGTGCCCGAGGAGAGGGGATCGTTCAAATCGACGTTCGTTTGCCGAAAATCGAACTGCCAAAATACAGCGGCGATGCCAACTCTTGGGTTGAATTCCGGGAAATCTATAATTCACTTATACATGAAAATGAAAGTATAACTGATATCCAGAAGTTTCATTACTTGAAGGCTGCATTGCAGGGAGATGCCGTAAATTCCATTCAATGCATAGATTTCACGGCAGCAAACTACAAAAACGCGTATGATGCTGTAATAGAGCGATATGACAATGTTAAATTGCTAACTCATAATCACGTGCAGTCGATTTTCAATATAACTCCGATAGCTAGAGAAGCGGCCTGCGAAATTAGGCGTATCATCGACACTGTATCCAAACACTTGAAGTCCCTTGGGCAATTAGGTGAACAGGTAGATTCATGGGACACACTCATAATCTACATCATATCTACGAAGTTAGATAAGTCGTACTTGAGGGAGTGGGAAAGGTCTGCGTCACGTTTGTCTGATAAACCCAAGTTACGGGATATGCAAGAGTTCCTGAAGGGCAGAGCAAACGTACTGGAAACAATAGAGTCCAAAGATAATAATGATCAAATGGTTAGAGGTCGTCCGAATGCGACCACGAGCAAAGGATTAGCATCGACTACAGCGCCCAAATGTGTGATTTGTAATGAAAATCATTTTGTGCAGAATTGCCCTTTGTTCAATAAATTAAGTGTGTCAGAGCGGTATGACAAATTAAGAGACAAAAGGGTGTGTATGAACTGTCTCAGGTTAGGGCACTTCAGCAGACAGTGCAGGTCAATTGGTTGCAAGCGTTGCAAAGCTAAACATAACACGTTGTTACATTTTGATAAAAGTAACACTCCCAAAGAAAGTCAGAAATCGAAACAAGCGCCGGCACCGTCGCATGAAGCAGTTGAGGAACCCACCAACGGCGGCGATATCGCGGCTGCGTGCTTGTCGTCGTTCGCGCCAAGCCAGGCCTTGCTGTCCACCGCCATTGTAGAAGTGTAAGGCTGAACACATAGTGGAGCGGTGAGAAGAGCGACGAGCAGAGCAGAGAGGAGAGCGGCGAAAACAAAAGCAATAGTTCCAATCGAGTATAACATAGTGAGGCGAGCTCAAGCGAGGTAACTGCGTTGCTATAAGAGAGGATAGCGGCGAGACCAAGCAGATTTGTTTTCTCTGCTCTCCTCGCTGCGGAAATACTGTGTATTAAAAATGGATGTTGATGCATTTATTACTAGTGTTTTTGTTAAAAATCCCCTATGGGATCAGAAAGACTCTCAGCACCATAACCGCTTTGTTTTGGATAAACTGTGGGATGCTGTGGCCGAAGAAATGAAAACAACAAGTGAGTATATATTTTTAAATTTTATTTCTACATACGTAATTTTTATACGTCTCTCTAATAAAAGTGGCAGATGCTGTTGGCCTATTATTTGCTCGCACAACGTCCGAGTTATTACATTGAGACTCGGATTGGGACAAAAATTGTTCATCTTGAATTGGAATGCCCTCTATATCAATTATTGTATTGTGTAGAATACAGATACACTTAATAATATCATCTGCTAAGTCTGGAGAGGCTTCTATGGGCTTGAAAAGAATACGAAACTTGGCACTGATGATTCCAAAAGCACACTCTACTACACGTCTTGCACGTGAAAGGCGCATATTGTAATATTCTTTTTCTGCATCTAAATTTCTTCTATTAAAAGGTTTCATTAGATTATTTAATAAAGGATAGGCTTCAAACCGAAAAAAACATAGGGTACAGTGATCATAGTGAGCGGTAATGTACCATCTTCAGGAATATTTAGACGTTTACTCTCAATCAGATGAAATAGAGATGAGGATCGGAATGTACCCCCGTCACTCTGCTTGCCATACCCTCCAACATCAATCGTTATAAATCTATAATTTGCATCAGTAACAGCTTGGAGAACAATAGAAAAGAAGTTTTTGTAATTATAGTACATAGTTCCAGAGTGAGGAGGACATTTCACACGAATATGTTTTCCGTCAATTGCCCCCAGACAATTGGGAAAATTCCATTTTTCGTAGAATTCTTTTGCAGTGTTCTTGAAGTCATTTTCGGTAGGAAGTTTCATATGCAGAGGTTGTAATATGTCCCACATAGCTTTTACTGTTTCTCGCACAATTGATGACACGGTCGTAGCACCCATTCGAAAAGTAAAACTAAGAGTTTTAAAAGATGATCCCGTTGCCAAAAACCTGAAAAAAAAACTTCTTCAAGCTTAAATTCTGGTAAAAATATTTTCTCATTTCAGGGAGTATCGTGAGGACAAAATGGAAAAACTTGCGAGACACATTTCGCAAAGAACTTAAAAAAAAGCCAGTACAACGATCGGGGGATGAGGCATCCTCTTGGACATCATCTTGGCAATATTTTGATAGTCTTTATTTTTTAAAAGACCAATTTACTGCCCGAGTAAGCACCGGAAATTTGCCCGAAACTGAGCAAAACATCAATATTCTGGATGAAGAAACAAACACCCAGTTATCAGAACACCGATCAGAACCAAATAAGCCAAACTTGGATGATTCTACTTATGCCGATAAATTACCACTGACGAACGATTCGTCTCAAAACAAAAGCAGTTTAACTATCACACCTACTGTTAACAAATTAAAACGAAAGAACCAAAATGACACAGATGTTGGTGCTGCACTTATAAGATTAGAAGAACAAAAACTCAGGATTCTAGAAAAAGAGAAAAAAACCCTTTCCATCTTTTTTTTTCTTGATGAAAACGAAATCATCAGAGTAGGCGGCAGATTAAAAAACTCTTTCTATGCATATGAGAAAATGCATCCAATGGTATTGTGCGCGAAGCATCCATTAGCTATTTTAATTGTAACCTTGGAGCATCAAGTTACCTATCATGCGGGCCCTCAAGCATTACTCGCAAGGCTGCGTGAGAAGTATTGGATAGTCTCCGGACGTCGTCTGTGCAGGGACGTTATCAATAAATGCGTTACGTGTAGAAGACAAAGGGCACAAATCTTAGCGCCAATTATGGGTCAATTACCTAAATCGAGATTTTCTTGCAATTTCCCGTTTGAAATTTGCGGTGTTGACTACGCGGGGCCGTTTCTAATAAAGAATAAAGGAGGGCGCGGATGCAAACTGATTAAGAGCTACGTATGTTTGTTCGTTTGCTTTTCTACAAAGGCCATACACCTCGAATTGGTGTCAGACTTAAGTACCGAAACTTTTATTTTAGCTTTAAGGCGATTCGTTGCCCGACGCGGTAAGCCTAAACAAATCAACTCTGATAACGGCACCAATTTTATCGGAGCAAATTCGGAACTTTCTAGTTTTCTACGAGAGCAGGCTCCTTCAATTATTGATGCTTGTAGCGAAAGCGAAATCGAATGGCGTTATATTCCTGCTCATTCACCTCATTTCGGTGGTTTATGGGAGGCAGGTGTCAAATCCGTCAAACATCATCTAAAGAGAACCGCAGGTAGCGCTAATTTTACTTTTGAGGAATTTTATTCATTACTGACTCAAATAGAGGCGATCTTGAATTCTCGACCTCTGTGCCCGTTATCCACTGATCCTCATGATTTGATCCCACTCACCCCCGCGCACTTCTTGATTGGGCGAACATACCATGAGGTGCCAGATCCGGACGTTACTGCGATAAATCCTGGAAAATTGTCACAGTTCCAGAAAGTTCAGGCTGCCAAACAGCATTTTTGGCAGAGGTGGAACTCCGAGTATGTGGGAGAATTGCAGCAGAGGAAGAAATGGATGAAGGATGGCGGATCGACGTTGGAGCCAGGGATGATGGTACTCATCAAAGAGGACAACCTACCACCTTCCAGATGGCAGTTAGGCAGGGTGTTGGAGTTGCATGCCGGTCGTGATGGTGTTGCGAGAGCGGCAACCGTTAAGTGTGGTAGTGACAAAGTGAAACGGTCATTTGCCAAATTGTGTCCGTTGTTTTAAGTGCAGTTCGCGGAGCTCCATACGTTTATTTGGAGCCGCAGGACTCCAACGAGGGGAGTATGTTTCCGCGTGTTACGAACAATTTGCCCGACGTGGCAACAGCGGAGAGAGTTGAGAGAACTAGAACATACAGTCCACACGTTTATTTTCTAAGAGCACAAAACTGTCTCTAAAATTGTTAAATGTAGTTTTAAATGCCCATTGCAAGTTGTGAAACGTCTAGTAGCAGACTACAACACTGTACAAAGAGAATAAACCCGACTCACCACCGGAAAAGGAACAAATAGCAGTTATTTCACCCCCAAGGCCAACTACCTCTCTCAACATTTTGGACCTTCGGCCGAATATCAAGTTGGAACCTGAACTACCAGTACCAGCGAGAATCGAGATTAGCCTTGCAAAGGGGTGCGGTGAGTCCTTGATTCCCTTATGCCCATTATCTTGCCCTTAAGGTCGTTGATTTCAAGAGGCCCATTAGAATTGCTTGCTTTGCAAAAGATAAAAATAATCCTACTAGTGAGATAATCAAATCTTATGTTTGTTCTATCAGGGTTCTAGCTTTCAAATAGACATAACTTCGCCTTGTTAATTGACGTGATTATCAAGGATAGTATCTTATGTTCATAAGAAACGACTTGTACCTACAATAATCTAAAGTCTAATATTAATTACAAATAGTAATATTAACAGGCAAGATTCCAAGGAAAAGGAAAAACCAATCCGGGAGAAGTCGTAGGGGGGCACATCAAGTTAACCCTACCAGACCTATGTCAGCCAGCCGAAGAGGGTACGGTACCCAACCATCTGAGAGTGACTCTGAATCAGATCAAGAGACATCAGATCAGCTAAATTTGGTTGAAGACAACGCGCCTGGAACTCCGCCTGGCCCAGCTCTTGTAAGAACAGGTAATATTGACAACGACCAGCCTTCTGTATCAGGTGTCTCTCAGGTAACTCCAAGAGTAATGGAGTCCCCCAATGGTTTCCCCCAGCCTCCAGTGGCAGAGTACGTCATCGACTCAGAGACTCGATCCATGATCAAGGGCCCTGCTGAAAACGAGACATTTTACAGCAAATATCTTGAAACATCTCCTGTGTACAAGGGGCTATTTCTCCGCAACTCAGCATCCTACCCTTATACCGGGACATGGACGGGATCAGCAGGTCCTGCTATCGGAGTTTATCTCTACTATGGGAGGTATTTTAGAGAAAACAATAGGTGTCCTCGTATAGGAGATATATTGCCGATTATTATGGCTGAATTCCTTGGTCCATACCTTCCTGTTGACCTGTTCTTAGGAACAGAAGAGTCAAAAGCAGAGATTCTAGGATGTGCAAGAATGTTTATCAGAGAACCAAGTTTGATGGACTCTCTTGCTCCTGCTACAAGAACTGAATATATTGCGGCCTGCAATAATCATGAAGCCCCTCCGTTTGATAGAATGTTTAGAGAGAAGTATGGGCACCCAACCGAATTAGACTGGCCCGCTGATGGAAACATACCCCATCATAGTGCAGCCATCCGGGTATTGTACCTATGCTACTACCAAAATCAGGAGAGGGTACTTGCAGATGGACTTCGGCTTATTGTCCACATTACAGTGTCTTTCGCTAAAAGAGGACAGATATCAGACAGGTTCCGCGAAAAGATCGAAAATGGGGTATACCAGGATCTGCAAAAGAGAGTGAGGCTTGATATAAATGCCATCGATATTTTCTATAAAAAATATGGGATGAATATTAATGCTCGTACGATCCAAGGCATTAGCAGTCGATGGACTGAACTAATGCCTGAAGGAGTGCTGAGACTGAAGTTAACTTTATCCCAATTAGGTGGAAGTGGTCTTACCTCATTTATGTGTATCGGAAGAGCTATGCGCATGTTTCCTTCATTTTACTGGGACAAAGTTTGGGAATTATACCCCAATGACTTCATAAACTACAATGCGGCACTAGGGGTAGTTAACGGAAATATGTTTTACGGCTTTAATAAGGAATTAGGGCCAGTAAAGTCAACCAAATATCCGTCTCTAGCATGGGTTGCAAAGAGTCTATTGATTAAAATCAATGGAGAATCCTCACTCAACGAGTACCGTGGTTTTGTTCCTAGAGTTCCTCGTCAAGCTGACATTGATACTTTGATCGCCGATTTTGAGAGGGTCTCCCGAGAACAATTCACAGGGGCTGAAATAAGACCACGTAGTGACATCGTGACTAATACATTTGCAGCGGTCAACATGGACATATACAGTGACATGTTCTCTCTATAATTATCACGATTTCGATCCTGATACTTAATATAACCTTACAGTTTTATAATTATTACAAGTTCCTAAAAGCCATCATACCTTAATGAGTAGTTTCTGTACCCATTTTATTGAACCGACGTGCAATATAACCCCAGTATTATCTTTTGTATTCTAAGATATATTAATAACCCTTTCCGAAAAGGAACAAATAGCAGTTATTTCACCCCCAAGGCCAACTACCTCTCTCAACATTTTGGACCTTCGGCCGAATATCAAGTTGGAACCTGAACTACCAGTACCAGCGAGATTCGAGATTAGCCTTGCAAAGGGGTGCGGTGAGTCCTTGATTCCCTTTTGCCCATTATCTTGCCCTTAAGGTCGTTGATTTCAAGACGCCTATTAGAATTGCTTGCTTTGCTTTAGAATTTAGTGCTTTGAAAATTGTAAAATATGTCGTATGATATTCGAATTTGGTGCGCCAGAGAGGCGTAATAAAAGCGCGACTTACTAATTTCAAAAAGTATTTAAAGTGTATCTAACGAAGCTACAAAGTAATGGTAAAGGGACCTATTCACATGCGAGCATGTCCGGCGGATCTGTCCGAGAGACGTACTCGTCGGACAGATCCGCACGTGTATATGCACGCGCTCGGCGTACATGTCTGGCTCGCCGTCCGTAGCCCAAGACGACGATCACCGCTAGCGAGCCGGACAGATACGTACGTGAATAGACCTGTTGCGGATTTGCTCGCCGGACGTAAAATTTTCCATCTCATTTTGCATTTACCTGATAAAGTCCAAGAGGGATAGTTTGGATTTATGTTATTAAAATGTCTTTCGCGGATAACAAACCATTTTGGGAAAGTTTTATTTTATTGTATAAGTCAAAGCCTTGCTTGTGGAATGTAAAAAGCAAGGAATATGCTAACAAACAATTGCGAAATGACGCATATGAAGCATTAGTTGAAAAATGCAAGGAAATTTGGCCTCTGGCAGATATGAAGTTTGTAAGAAAAAAAATAGATTCCTTGCGTGCTGGCTTTCGCCGAGAATTAAGAGAAATTAGAAAAAGTAAGAAAACTGGGGCCTCCACGGATAGTATTTATGAACCCAGTTTGTGGTATTTTCAATTACTATTATTTACTCGGGATCAGGAAGAAGTTCGCCCTGGAACCTCTTCAATGGCATTCCAGGAATTAGAAGAGGAAACTCAAAGTGAAACAAGGGTAAGTAATTTTTTTATTACGTTTATTTTTAATAAAAAATACAAACATTTTCGATCAAATACAACTTTTTGTAAGACTTTTCGATTATTCTTAATTTCCGTTGATCATATTTTCTTGAAATGATACTCCTCCTTCATTATTATAGTAGTTGGTAAATGCTTTTCTGACATTTTTAGCAATATCATTGTAATAGGTCCTTCTGTTTTGTAAACCATGTACCTGACGAAGCTCTTCACGCCAATCACCATCTTGAATAATGTGATCACTGTTTTCGCGATCAACTGAGCGAATATTCATATAGTTGGAACATTTTCTTCTTAAAAAATTATGTAATACGCAGCATGCCAATACGACTTTATCGACTTTTTCTACATTACTTAGTGTAATTGTGCTCAGTAATATTCTGAAGCGAGAAGCCAATATGCCAAACACGTTTTCAACCACTGTCCTTGCTCGGCATAGGCGATAATTGAAAACTTTTTCATCGTGGCTAATACCATTTATTGAACAGGGCTTCATTACATTTTCTGTTAGGCTAAAAGCGTCATCTCCTATAAAAACGTATGGTAATTTGACTGCTGATTTTTCAAGATGATGAGGAGGAGGAATATTTAAAGTATGATTTTCGAGTTTCTCGTAAAAATCGGCCTCTTGCAGGACACCTCCATCTGAAACTCTGCCATTTATTCCCGTATATACATAAATAAATTCATAGTTAGCGTTTACAATGGCAAACAAAACGGTGCTGAAAAATCCCTTATAATTGTAAAAAAACGAACCGCTATTAGGCGGTTTTTTAAGGCAATATGCTTGCCATCCATGGCTCCCAAGCAATGTTCAAAGTCGCAGGAACGTTTGAATCCATTTGCGATTTCCAGCCAATCATTTGTGCTTGATGGAAACTGAAACAAAAATCATGTGAAATATCATTTGTATTACAACAATGTGTATTATTTTTTTCAGGATGAACAACCTGAATCATTAAGCGAGCCATCAACTCCCGTAAGCAGCTGCTATTCTGAGCATGCTGAAAAAAGTAGCCGTGGAAGTTGCAGGTCCACAAATAGAAATAGTAGTCTAGGCCATAAAAAAGCAAAGTTTCTAGACGCAGCAAATGTTGCCCTTACAGCTCCAGAAAAAACAATATCTCCATTTGAACCGTTTGGAAAAAGCGTAGCAGTTGATCTCGAACACATGGACGCAAGACAAAGAATTATTGCGCAAAAAATAATTTCCGATGTTTTATTTTACGGAAAATTAGGAAGGCTTACGGAAAAGTGTACCTTTCGTGCACCAACCCACCAACATTCAGGCAACAGTTTTCAAAACTTCTATGATTATGGGCAAAATCCTACCACTTACTATGGAAATCAGTTTGCAACACAACCAGCCACACTAGTTTCTCACCCACAAAATAATACGCTCTATCAACAGTCAACCATACCAGTTTTACAGCCGCCAGTTACTCAGCTACATGATACACTCTTTCAACAACCAGCCGCACTAATTTCGCATCCTTCAGTTACTCAGCTAAATGATCCACCCTCTCAACAACCAGCTATACAAGAATCTAATCTTCGAGTTACTTAGATTCAACATGAGCAACCCAGTACATCATCAAAAAATAATACAATATATTATGATACGAATAAGTGTGACGTTTCCGAGTTTCTGCAACTTCAAAGCAATAAAAAATAAGTTTGTAACATACTTTATAAGTAATATTGTACTTATTAACTAATAAATCATTTACTAACCTTCAAATATTCGTTTTTTAGTGTCATAAATAATGCCCAACAAGTTTCAGGTATTATTTTCCCGAGAAGCTGTGGGGAGATTGCACAACTAAACTTCAAGTCTTCAACACTCCTTCCAGTTGCTAAGTACCGTAGCGTAGCAATTAATCGCTCTCTGCTACTCACTGCTTCTCTCATATGGGTGGTATTTCTTTGGATTAATGGGTCTACATATTGTAATAATATTTCAAATGCTTCTTTATCCATTCGTAAAAAGTTGTGCAAATCATGAGGCTCTGTTGTTTGGAGTTCTCTAATTAAACTCATATGAGAATACTTTCTTCTTTCTAAGAACCACCGCTTTGACCACAGTCTTTTCTTCTTCTTTTCATCAAATAAAACTATGAATCCTCCAATTATCGCAAGTTTCTTTTTATTATCCATTTCACAACGCGGAAATCAGTAACTGAATGAACCAAAAACTTCGTCTATCCAGATTTGTCGGTGAATGTATACGGACAAATTCGCATGTCAGTAGCGCGCAACAGATCTGTCCGTCGGACAGATCCGCCGGACATGCTCGCATGTGAATAGGTCCCTTAAACGGTGGTTGATTCGTGATCAACGCGTGATCGGTAGCCATGGCGCTCTGTCGGCCTCTTCCTGATTGGCTTGTAGCGACGAGCCGCCTCCAGACAAAGTCGCACGGTTGCCACGCTCGGCGAGTTTTCGCCAGAGTGGTTGATCACATTCGCATGGATCACAAATCAATCTGTTGGTGCAATAACTGTTGTAAAGGACATTATATAACAATAAATGGCATCACAAAGGTATATTCCAATTTGATCTGCAGCAAATTATGAACGGCATATACGGAGATGCGAAAACAAGCTCAAAAAGGTGAAGAAAATTTTGTGCAATCTTTATAGTTAATTTTTTCCTAAGAGATAGCTTCAGTGAGGGAATTTTTTTCTATTGTCTTATTTTTCACAGTAATGCGATGTCGAGGTATGTGGCCCTATCGCAATTGAAAATAAGGTTTCGATAATCCTTCCATAAAGTTTCGATGAGTACATCTGAAATAACCTTGAGATATTCTTCAGGGAAATACAAAAATCTCCTTTTGTGTTTTTTTGTGCAGATTTATCTATTAAAATCCTATCCGCAATCTATTTTCCGTGCACACACCTTCAACCGAATGTATGCCATATATGATATTACCGTTTCCAACTTTCACCAAGGTTAATAGGAACCATAACAGCTCCCTACCCTTCCCCCCTATAAGAATATCGATTTGTAGCCTCACATTTCAAGGTCAGACTTCTTGTAATGTTTCTGTTCAACATTCGGCGATTTCTGACAATTTTCCCAATAAAACATGATCATTGTGACATTAAGCCTGGCAACGCTGCATAGTAGAGGGAACTCTCAGCGTCACGTTGATGGTTCGTCACCACGCACAGGATTGTAATCAGTTACGGATACCCGTTTATGAGCGCGAACGTTTTATGCACGTCTTGACTTGATTTTTCTTGCGGAAATTTAATATTAGTCTAAAATGTCTGACCCAGATACAGCTGATGAAGTGGTTGAAATCAGCTTAACGTCACCCAGAAAAAGGACTAAAAAGCTTCATCTTAGCGCAGGTGAAAAACAAATTATTCTAAATATCTACAAGAACCAGATGCAAGAGAATAGTGGATTGGCTATAGAAAATATCGTATGTAAGGTTGCTGAAATTTCTGGAGTAGGTCGATCAAGTGTTTACAAAATCCTGAAGGAATATAGACAAAATCACTCACTATCTGAGCCAAAAACATATCCAGCGAGAAAAAAATCATCGAAAAAATAGATGACTTTGACAAAAGTGCCATTAGAAGAAAAGTACATCACTTTTTCTTCAGGAATGAAATACCTACAATAGATAAAATATTGAAGCAAGTGAATGATGATGAGGACCTGCCAAATTTTAAAAGATCTACGTTCCATAAACTGTTGAAAGAACTAGACTTTCGATTTTTGAAAAGAGGAAGGAATAGTTTATTGATAGAAAAGGAGGAAATTGTTATCTGGAGGAGAGAATACCTTAGAAAAATTAGGCAATTCCGCGCTGAAGGAAGAAAAATTTATTATTTAGACGAAACATGGGTGAACGCGGGGCATACGCAGGGAAAGGTTTGGGTAGACAGATCTGTGAGGTCCTCAAGGCAGGCTTTTTTAGATGGCCTTTCGACGGAATTGAAAAATCACACTTGATGATAACGCAATTATTGTGATGGATAATGCCCCGTACCACTCCAGAAAATTGGAAAAAATTCCAACAATGGCCACCAAAAAGGCAGACATTCAACAGTGGCTTGTCTCAAAGAAGATCGACTTCGACCAAACAATGGTCAAAGCTGAGCTGATAAATATAGTCAAGCGACATAAGTATAAATATGATTTAAAAATTGTTGACGAAATGGCCAAAAACCAAAATAAAACGATTCTCAGGCTGCCTCCCTATCACTGCGAACTGAATCCTATCGAGTTGATTTGGGCCGACATCAAGCAATACGTGGCGTCAAATAACAGCACTTTTAAGTTTTCTGACCTTAAAAAATGTTTGATGTTGCTGTCGATAGAATTACGCCAGCAAAATGGAGAACATGTATTGACCATGTCCAAGAGAAGGTTGAAACCAAAATGTGGGATATGGACAATATCATTGACACCCAAGTTGAACGCCTTATAATTGACATCAACAATTCTGATGATTCAAGCTCCTCGGAATACAGCATATAAATCGATTGATACCATTAAGACTGGCAGTTTAACGGGCTTTTTGGCAAGACAGGTAAGTTCATTATAGACTGCAATCAAAGTGTAAGTTTCTAGTTATTAATGTGGAAATTCCAAATTTATAATTACACAAAATTAGGGTTAATTTAGGAGTTCCAAAGCATAATAGTGCCATTTTGACCTTCTTCCTATTTCTCATGTAAATTTTAATAGCAATCAAACTAACAAACTTTATGGAGTCTGTAATAAACTTTTGTACTACTACTACTACGTCTGTAGTTTCTATTTGCTCAAAAAAATTTGCTCTGCATTGTGAATAGAAGGTTGATTTGTAAATATTATTGGGTATACATGTAAGTTAATAATAAAATATGAACAATTTCAATTGAGATGGTCCACAAGTTTTTTTCGTGTGCGTTTTAGTAACATTTTGCTGAAAAGGTGAATACAGAATTTTTTGCACTGATTCCTAATGTCGAAATATGATTAGAAAGGCGTGGTATATTCCTGATAATTTACTATGCTTTTGATAGAATTTACAGCAACACATATCTTGTACGACATTTTTTGATAGATCAGTCACAATAGCTTGATACGGCCCTGTAGCGTCTCCTACGGTTAAGTTCTTGATCACGTGCAATACGGGTGTATATGTTTGATTTTACTTTGTTTCTTCGATGGATACAGTTTAGATGCCTTTAGGGTGGATCCACACTTGATCATTTTCGCGTATCAGATCTCCGTCGCGTGGCATCGACGCTTATCATGTTCGCTAGTGTGGACGCAAAATGATCGCGATCATGATACACTTCGTATCATGATACACCCCGATCGCTATTAACCGCGTATCTGATACGTGTCGTATTGGATACGCATATCATGATCGGCAGAATGATCTAGTGTGGACGCATTTTGATACCGTGTCATGATACGGCTATGTCAATTGATACGTGATACGCCGCGATCCATCTCGAGGCGGTTTTTCCCCGATCATCAAAAGCGATACACAATAATACAGGATTAGACAAGTTTGCATTCACATGTGTACATTTCGGGTGAGCGCAAGGCACGCTACTCCTCCGATAGTTCCTGTACGTGGATGCTTTTGTAATCATGAGTTGGGATAACGATAGTGTGATACAATTGATTGAAGCATATAAACTTAAAGAAATATTGTGGAACCCTCAAAACCGCAACTATTATAATAGATTACTTAAAAAAGATGCTTGGGACGAATTAGGGACCGACTTGCAACGTCCGTCAGAACAAATAAAGAAAAAAATGGATTACTTGCTTTCGGCACTTCGTCGAGAAAGACAAAAGATAGCAAAATCCAAGACAACGGGTCAAGGTTAGTAGATATTACTGTCTAAATGCATATTTGTAATTATCACAGTGACCGGAATGTTTTGGCGTAAATAGTTTTGAATAATTAAAAAAAAATGGCGTTAATTAATCATTCATAGGTCACATATATCAGAAGTAGTAGTATATAGCTATATTATAGCTATTTTAGAATAGTTACGGTTTCTTATTTACTCGCCACTGTTAGTCCGGTTTCCCCACACAAAAGACATGCAAGCCCAGGGCTTCGCCAAGACTGAATAAAATTCAAAATTTAATTGAGAGTTGTCAAAAGTATATGGTAGTTTACGTCGAGTCTCAAAATGTCCTTTTCTCAAAATGTCCTTGGTAGCAATATGTCCTTTTTTTCAAATATCCTTCCTCAAAATGTATCTGGTTTCATTGTGAGTGGAATTGACATTAAAAGTGAAATTACCAGTGTGTCTATGAAAAAAGGACTTTTTGAAAAAAGACAAGTAACAACTTTTTTGTATAAATAGGTAAACTTTTTCTTGTAGTCGCGTTCGGAAAAGAAATCTCAGATCAGACGGATTTTTAATCACGTGATTTTAGACTTCCCCCACCACTATGGAAAAAACGAACGCTCCAGACCCAACAGATTAAAATTTGACATTTGACAAGTACTGACAGAGATTTGTTTGTTTTTGTTTTGGTTAGTACTCTTAGTACATAGCAAGGCCTTAGATTTCTAGGTATTACGTTTACTGCCTTGAGTACATAGGTCAATTGGGTTAGCTTTAGCTACCTTTGGGGAGCCTGCTTGCTATTTTACTGAGTTTTCTTTTACCGTTTTCTTGTATTTTTTTTTCTTGCGAATTAACCTGCTGCGTAAATAAGAATTGGTAATATTTGGGATATAAGTGACTTATTTCCTCTGGTAAGTATTACATCCATTATAGTTTTTGAGTTTACTATATTTTTACTTTTTTTGTTTGTTTGAGAGCTAAAAGGTAAAATTAAAGTGAATCAATGTATCATTCTTGCCCTTTTCCACATGTTTTTTTTTTATTTGTAGCTAAAAACATTTGAAATGGGTGAATTAAGAGCTGTGGTCAAACTGGCAACCTTAACTGTGGTAAATGGCCATTTTATATTTGATGAGGAAGATGAGGATGAGGGCAACCACAAATAGACAACAATTCTGGAAAAAATTGAGAACTTTGCTGAGGTAACTGTTCCTCAGTTTTCTGACAGGCAGTTTCAACAACATTTTAGGATGTCCCCAACTACTTTTGAGGACTTGCTTGAAAAGCTGTCGGTGGTATTTCATAATAGGCCTGATGGTCCAGGACGGTTTCCTGTTCCAATGGAAAAACAGGCTATGATTGCTCTATGGTGCTTGTCCAATTTGGAAAGCTTTCGGTAGGTACAAGGGTAGGTAATTCACAAGCGATGATAAAAAAAAGTTTCTATATAGTCATTAAAATTTATCATTTCCAATATAGAAGTTAAACTAAATATTTATACATATACATAGTTTAAAAAGTTCAGGAAAAATCCTACTGCAGAACTATAAAAGAAAAGGTTTTATAATTTTTAGTTTGATAAATAAATGATAAATTATGATGACTATATTATCGCTGATTGAGGATTGACCAATCCTCATTCAACACGATTATACTATGCTTTTGTTTATTATTGATCTAGCCCATAATTTTAGTTCTGTGGGGGATAGATTTGGTATCTCTAAATCTAAATGTTGAGATGTCCTTTATAGGACCTGCCATTCTATCCTAGCATTAAATCAGCATTTTGGCATAATAGCCTGGCCTACTGGAGAAAACGCATTAGGAATTATCAGATGTTTTCAAGAAATTAGCGGATTTAAAGGTAAGACATAATATGTATTTAAAAGTGAAGTTCAAATGTGTTTTTCAATACTTATATTTTTCTTATTTTGTTTATTCACAGTAACTTTGGCCCAGCTTATAGGGCAATATTTTGAGACAATGAATGTTGAACCATAAGACCTGAAAAACTTCTTTGCTTGCCTGGACAACATGACATAAAACAATAAAAAAATAAATTATACTTTTTTGTGTATATTTGTGAATTTTTATGTTATTTAGGTTGTTATTTTTTTGTTATTCAGGTTGATAGAACTTTAAATAAAAAATGTTTATTTCTAAAGAATCATGTTAAAACAAATTATGTTTTACAGGTATGTAATTGAATTGTCACACTTGGAAAGTCCACAATCTGTTTCTTTTCCATTTGTGAATTTTACAGGTTCTATCAACCCTAATGACAAAAGTATAAATGTTCAGAGATTGCACTAAAAAAGAAAAACTGAGACAAGAATAATGAATGGAACCATTTGTCTTTGTGTCTATAATTGTATATAGCACCACTATATGAAAGACCATCATAATGGCTCAAAATCCTATCTACTCTACAAGTTTGGCCAAAGTTATCATGATCATTCTGTATAATAAGTAGTTAGTCATATTTAGTATATCTTTCATTTTAGGTGTTCTAGGATGTATTGATGGGAGTCATATTAAAATATTGCCACCAAAAAATTATCCAAACTCTTACTGCAACAGAAAAAGTTTTCATTCTGTGTTATTGCAAGGTGTTTGTGATAATAAAAGATTATTTACCCATGTTTATGCGGGCGAGCCAGGATCAATACATGATAATAGGCTCTTTGAAAAGTCAGATTTGTACACAGGAATGGAAAATGGAGATATAACTTTTCCTGCCGACAGTCACATGCTTGGTGACTTGGCCTATCAGTTAAGGTATTGCCTTCTAGTTGGTTTTAAAGATCATGGGAATCTGACAAATAGACAAAAAAATTTTAATTTAAAATTATCACAAACAAGAGCAGCAATTGAAAATGCATTTGCCCTACTGAAAGGGAGGTTTCGTAGGCTTAAGTTTATGGAAACTGTAAGGTTAGATTTGATATGTTTATTGATTGTATCGGCATGTGTATTGCATAATATATGCATTCTCAAAGGGGACAATCCTGAACATCTATTTAATTTGGAAGAAGAATTGGAGGAAGAGAGAAGAGTTAATGGCGCAAACATTTTGGAGTTACCTCAAAACAATCAACCCGCTTTAGAAAAGAGAGCAAATATTATGAATGGACTACCACTGGATGTACAGTTTCTATAAATTCCAAAATGCAACATTCAAATTTTAATTTAAATTAACAATTGAAAATTGGAAAATATTAAAATGTTTATCTCCTAACTAGTTTTGTGTAATATCTGCTGACATCCCTGCATTTGCGAAAATATTTTTAAAATGTAGATTAGCACTTCCTATGGCTTTATATGTAACCCAAGCGTGTATGACAGCCAGTATTTAATTTTAATAATAATATTTTATTATATTTTATCTAGGTATTAGTTCAGAGATTCAAGAAATAAAATATTTTAAACTAATCAATGTATTTTTATTACTTAAAAAAAACATTTTGAGGATTATTTGCTCTATTGTAGGTAATGTACAGGGTGGTGACAGTGGAACAGACATAGTACGGCTCTTTTTTTAAATCCCAAAATACGCCCTTAAGGTTTTTTGAACATCTTTATTTATTTTTTATTTGTTGATTTGTGTTAAACTGGCAACAACGGTTATTATAAATGAAACACCCTATATTTTATTACCTTTTTAGATTCTACATAGAAGTATATAGCATGTGATATATTATAAAATTCATGTAATCAATAAAATGTAGGGTGTATATTTAAAATGTCAAAGTTGCAGTTTAACACAAAATTGCCAATTCTGCGTCACAAAAAAAAAGATTTAAAAATTAAAGCTGTGCGAATTAAAACTTTGAAGGCGTATTTTTGGATAAAAAAAACTATTTCCAATGTTGCACTATGTTCTATTCAAAATCGCCACAATAAACTCAACCCAATTAACTCTAATCTTAAAATACATCTTAACATATAAAGGGTGTTTTTTTTTAGAGGCGGAGAACTTTCATTTGGCAACACTGTTTTGTGTGACAGCCGATCTGACAGTTCTGGGTTGTTTTTAGGTTAGTTTGGTTTGGCAATTCATCATGAATAGACTGACGCCGGAGCAACGTTTGCAAATTGTTCAAATTTATTTTGAAAGACATGGTTCAATTCGAGAAACACATCGGGCATTACGTGAATTTTATGGTGCCCATAATCGTCCTTCAGAGCGATTAATTCGAGAAACTGTTGATCGTTTTCGCAATACTTTTACTCTAATCGACAATACGCATCCCGTAAGACGCCGTACAGTGCGCACGCAACAAGCGATAGCTGCTGTGCAGCGTAGTGTTGATAATGATGCCAATGTGTCAATTCGTCGTCGTTCTCAACAAGTGAATTTGTGTCCATCCACTGTATGGAAAATTTTGCGCAAAGATCTTGGGTTGCGAGCATATAAAATTCAACTAGTCCAGGAGTTGAAACCCCGGGATCATCTATTGCGCCGTACATTAGCTGAATGGGCGGAAGGAAAGATTGCTGTTGATCCAAGATTTCATATGAAAATTTTGTTTAGTGATGAAGCACACTTTTGGTTAAATGGCTATGTAAACAAACAAAATTGCCGAATTTGGGGTGATGAGAATCCACGAGCTATTGTCGAAACACATTTACATCCAGCAAAACTAACCGTTTGGTGCGCTTTATGGGCCGGTGGAATCATTGGTCCTTATGTCTTCAGAAATGCTGATGGTCAGAACGTTACAGTAAACGGTGAGCGATACAGAAACATGATTACTAACTTTTTTGTGCCTCACTTGGAAGGTGTTGCAGGCGTCGCAGAAATGTGGTTTCAGCAGGACGGTGCCACATGCCATACAGCGCACCAAACAATTAATTTACTGCAAGAGACATTCGAGCAACGAATCATTTCCAGAAATGGACCTGTAAACTGGCCACCTCGTTCGTGCGACTTGACGCCATTAGATTATTTTCTTTGGGGCTATGTTAAGTCGCATGTCTACGCTGATAAACCCGAAACACTTGAGCACTTGGAAGCCAACATTCGGCGCGTGATTGCCGAAATACAGCCTGCAGTACTGGAAAGAGCGTGTGAAAATTGGACCTCTAGATTACGCCATGTACGCGCAAGTCGTGGGGGTCACATGCCCGAAATCATATTTAAATGTTAATGCCAAAAAATTATCTTCAATATAAAAGCAAATTCGTTAATATCAATAAAATATTTTGTGTTTTATTTCAATTCAAAGTTCTCCGCCTCTAAAAAAAACACCCTTTACCTAATATCAAATAATATAATACTTGTCTAATTATTGGTATAAGAAGGAACTGAAGTATTCAAAAAACAAGGAACATTTTAACTAAAGCATAAATAGAAAAAAAATCATTCTATAATTGAGGAGGTTTAGAGCAAAACCGAATAAATCCACCAAAAATTCTTTTTGGAAAAATACAATTTTTCTCCAACGAGAAAAGTATTTTTTAAATTTTTCTTACTAGCAAGCACTATTAGAGAAATCATGATAAAACATTTGCTAGAATATAAATTTAAAAAAATATTTTTTAGTTCAAAATAAATTAAAAACAAAAATGGATTTATTTGGTTTTGCTTGAAATAACTGGATTTATTTGATTTTGCTCACAACTTTATTAGAAAAAATTAACAAAAGTGTTATTCTTACTACTAATACAAACAGAAACATTATGGCATTTTGTTAACTAACAGCAAAACCAAGGGTGCATTTAAATATGAAGTGCAAACTCTTCTTCTAGTCACACTCATTTCTTTTTTGGTTTTGCATGAAAACATCAATATTGCCATTAAAATTAAGTAGGATTTATTTGTTTTTGCACGCAAATATTTAGCTGATATGATGTAATTCAGCAAGATGAACCAATATTCGTCGCTAACTAATTTTTTATAAAAAATGGATTTATTCGGTTTTGTTTCAAACCTCCTCAATTGAACTAAAACAAGGAACATTGTAATTATAACTAGAAAAAAATTAGTAAGTTTTGGCATTTTTTCATTGGCCAATAGGGAATAGTCAGTTCACTCACTGTCAGAATTATTCTCGGAATTATTTGTGTTGGCTGCTGGAGTACTCCTCTCCACAGCTGATGTCAACCTCTCTAGTAAATCTAGATACCGGTCTTGCCTAGTCATTTTTTCTCTATGCCGCCTTTCTATTGCATTTTCTGCAGCTTTTCTTTTTGCATAAACGAAGACTGGTATCTAGATGTACTAGGAGTAGAAGTATTGTTCGGTTCTGCCAGGGGCTCTACTGGATTATTGGCTAAAAATTAATATATACATTTATGTCAAAAATTGTTGACAATAAATAAAAAAACAACAGACAAGACTCATAGATTTTGACATTGATTATTCAAGTATAGTAGCAACAAGACTTATATAAGCATTTTTTTTAAAACTCTATAAAAGGTACAAAAAAATTTAAAATATAAACATCTATTGTATTTGGTGTACAGTATGTGGTGTACATCAGTAAAAAAGTAATATTTAATTAACTGATATTATAATACTTCAAATATTATTTATTATGTTACCAAAACTTTGCATGTAATTTACCTTTCTGGCATTCGTAAAGTTCTAAATAAATAAATAAATTTATAAGAAACATTTCAAGCAGAAAACTATTATACCCAACCACTGTTTAAGGATACATTTTCCAGGAGAAAATGGCTGATTTACAGCTCTTACAAAAGTCGTACTTCTCTCTCACTCTTTTCGAGAGAGAAAGTTATAAGAAGCAATCTTCTAGAAGAGAGCTGTAAATCAGCCATAAGGTTTTTGCAAATTTTTTTTGTTTCTATATGTATATATATAAAATGCTTCCATAACTCTGGAACTTACTATACCTGATATATAAAGTTGATTTAAGCATTAATTTATACCTATAACTGCTCCTTCCACAGCATTGGTTATTTCACCCAGAACATGCATGCCTGTTCTGCTAGAGCATGTAGCTGGGGATTGAATTTCGGGCCTTTTAAACAAAATGTCATTCATGACATCAAAAAATTTCCAGTTTTTTTGCTATTGCCCGACTGGTCATTGTGTTTTTTAACTGATTTATATTGGTTTTTCAAGACTTTCCACTTGGTATCGCATTGCTGGATGTTATATTGGGAGCCAAGTTTCTCAGTCAACTCACGAGCAATCTTACTCCAGACATATTTCTTTACCCCAGAATCAAATCTTTGTTCATACTTCCTATACATGTCGATCAAAGCTAATGTAGCCTCGTCAGTCCAAAGTTTACTGGTCTCTGTAAATAAACCAGAATAACTTGCTTAATTATGTTTTTGTAATTATAAATACTTAAGTAGAAAGAAATAAAAATAAATGTAATTGATTAAATAAACATAAAAACCTTGGATTGGTAGATCTCCTACTTGTATATCTTGTCCTATACCATCACGTTGAATAGATGAATTATCTACAATAAAGTTAAGAATAATTATATAAATATATACCTAGAGAAGCTATTCAATAATATAAAACATACATACTGCTTTCAATTCTATTGTCCACACAATTCTCCTTAATGGCCTCTTTTTGTGTTCTTGAGGTTGAGACAGAAGAACATTCAGGAGTATCATCAATATCATGGACAAATTCAAAGGCTTTTTTGAAATTGTCCCTCTCTTGCTGTTGCTGAAGCAGCTCTGTAGCAAGAGTTAAATCTAAAAGGAAATTTAATCTTTACACTTTCTAATTTACTAAATTTTTTAAACATTTTTTAATCCTTCAAATTTAAATGTAGGTACACTCAATTTATGTTCTTTTACTTACTTCCATTGACTACAATTTCATTAAATTCTTCCTGACTTACTCCAATAGTGTATGTTACCCCTTGTTCTTCATCCCTAAGCTCAATTTTTAACGACATTTTTTATGGTTTTTATAAATAAATGACTACTGGTTTTTATATTGCTGAAATGTGTTAAAAACCGAAATCAGGTAAAAATAAAAATAAAACAGAACGAAATATCAGCCGGCTATAACTTAACCTCACAAAACCAGATTAATCTTTCAATCTTCTTTCGGAGACAGATCTGTCAGATTTAATCAGATCGGTCAGGATGTCATTTACCGAACGCCACGGATTCACTTCCCCTACATCTAGATGCAATTACCGAACGATTCGGATCAGTCAGACTGGTCGGACGACATTTTCCGAACGCGACTTGTGTTATTAGCTAAATTATCCAATTTGAAATTTGAATTTCATTCGCTCTTGGCGAAGCCCTGGGTTAATGTCTGGGGTAATTCTACTATGTAGTACGTCAGGTTATTTTACGAATAATAGTTATTATCATTCAGTATTATTTTTATTTCATTTCTAGGTGCAGACAATGTTTATCAATCTACCTGGTTTGCATTACCACATTTAGAATTTCTTCTTGACAGAAATAAACCTAGAGCTGTAAGACTAAATACCGTAAGTACAATAATCTTTACAGGTACGCGCATAGTATTTTCAAAGCTTTCTATGGTAACGTTGCCACAACGTAATCTATAACAGTACACACAGTTATTCCTTACAGAAAAAAATGCAATTAAATCTACTACATCCCATTTTGCCACGGTAACGTTGCCACATTAACACAATAGTCAGCAATTTGATCTCTCATAGTATGCGCTGTTAATTGTGATCTTCGACCAACGATTGTTAATGGCAATAAGGAATTCATTTCGCTATTATCCCGCCTCCATCTTCCAGGTGTTATTATCCCATCCACCTCAGTATCAAATGTACCGGGTGGGGTATATAAATTCACAGAATTTTGACTTTTGCGTAAAAAATTATGAAGAAGGCACACAGTCATCACTACCAATTGTGCCTTTTCCGGTTGAAGCAGCATTGGTTTTCTCAGAACTCGAAATACACTGGCCAGAATACCGAAAACGTTTTCTACAATACATCGAGCCCTCGATAATCTGTAGTTAAATACACGTTTTGTTGATCCTTTGGGATGTTGGCCTGGATAAGGCTTCATGATATGGTTGCTTAGAGGAAATGCAGTATCTGCTACAAAGTGATATGGAATAACATAGTTGGTCCCGTCCAGTTGTTTGGGAGGTGGGAGATTCAATGATTCGTTGTCATTTTTTTCCTTCAGTAATGAATCATTAAAAACACCACCATCGGAAATTCTGTCTTGAGTCCCAACGTCGACAAACATAAAATTGTAGGAGGCATCTACTAGGGCCAACATAACAATACTGAAAAACTCTTTGTAGTTGAAAAAATCCGATCCTGTATTAAATGGAGCCTGCAGCATGATATGTTTACCGTCCAATGCACCAATCACGTTGGGAAAGTTCCACATGTTCATAAACTCGGCGCTGACTTCTTTCCATTTCTCCGGCATATTCGGTAACTGAAAGAAAAACAAAAAGTATAATGAAACTAATATTAAAAACAAGTGTGAAATCGAAAACATGTGACAATCTTATAGGGGTGAATGCACACACGCATAAGAACAACTTTTTCTGTGGGGCCAAAATAAATGAAAACATCTGCTGTTGCATAAAAATCATTGACTTTGTGATCAAATGCATGAAACAATATATTTCTTTTGACCCCATAGTAAAACTTGTTCGTATACGTGAGTACATTCACCCCTATAAGTTTATCACATGTTTTCGATTTTACCCTGTATATTATATGTATGTATGGTATGTGGTGTCTGCAAAACCCGAAACTAGTATACCATGTAATTAAATTTAATGATTTATGCGGAAAATGAAGCTGGCAAAAATACGGAAGGTAATGATACTGTTGATAAAGAACATTTCGAGGACTCGGCAGATGTGAAAGCCGTGAGTCTGAAAGCCTAGCGTCTGGAAGCCTAGCGTCTGGAAGCCAAAAACCTGGGGCCCAAGCATCTGGAGGCCAAGAATCTACGACCCAACCACCTGGAAGCCAAGAATCTGCGACTCAAGCATCTGAGGCCCAAACGCCAAGGACCCGACCGAATTCAACATTTAAATCGCCAGCATCTAAAAAACAAAACAAAAGACCACCGCCAAATGACCCGATCAGGCACGAAGCCTTGAAATTGATGAGGGCATCATCACAAGCAGCTACCTCTGCCGCTTCTGCGATTTCAACTCATTCTGCCGACCGATACCAAATATATGCCAATTATTTGGCATCCAAATTTCGAACATACTCGCAAACAACCTTCCTTACCGTTGAACACCGTATTAACCAAATATTGTATTGCGCCGATAGTGGACAATACGAATGTGTAAGTGGATATGGAGGATATCAATCTACTCCTAATAATAATCATACGCCAATGCAACCGCCAACCAATCGTGAATGGGAAGGTGAACATGGAGGGTATCAATCCTCTAATAGTGATACGCCAATACCGCCAAATCAGGTTGAAACCAATGAAAGTGACTCAAGAGACACCGATGACTTCAGTGATTTAATAAGGTTTAATTTATGAACGTGTTTGTATTTTTTATGTACATTTAAAAATCATGTCTTTTTTCACTATTAAGTAAAGAAAATATCGCCTTACCTTTATTTCGTCTTTTAACACGTTAACGGCCACGTGCTTATCTGTGAAATTTACCACCGGGCCAATTTATAATTTTCATTGTTTTGAGATGCTTTTAGGTAGTATTGCTCAAATGTCTGGAGTATTTTGTGAAAATATTCGAAGTTTTGGAAAAAAATGCAAAATAAGGATCGGTCCCCAGGGACCGCCGTGGCCCACCAAGAAAACTATATTGCAAAAGCACGGTCGGTCCCGCCCGGCGGTCCTTCGGTAATGTCCGCCTTTCATCGATGAGCGCTAAAACGAAGCACGTGGTCATTTCGTTGCGTTTCAGTTACTGTAGCGGGTCGGTGCAGCTAGGCGTCAGCGCATTTATTCATGATAATGGATCACGTAAATGTTCGCAATCGGACTAAACAGTTGATATTGTTGTCAAAACTTCAGAAGTGTGATGAAAATGATGGTAAGAAATTACCTACAGGGATATCTTTCGGAAGTGAAACTGGCTTTTTTCACTTTTGTTGTATAACCCTGTACAATAAACAATTTTGTTAAGAGGTTAAGTTCTGCTAAATTTCAGAATCCAGCGAAGATGAACCAAGCATTTATGGCTCATCGGACTCAGTTGTAGATCCAAACTATTCCCCTAGTGAAGATTCTGTGTCGAGCGAGTTGGACAACGTTCCCACAACCAGCAACACTGATAAGAAGGTAAGTCTAAAATATTTTCCAAACATCTGTGTTCTAATTGTATTTTTTTTTTTAGAAAACACTTCCTAACGCTCAGAGTCCACCGGAAGTTTCAAATATTGGTTCAAATCTCGTAGAACAATCAAGTAGTTCAGATTCGGAAGAAAATCAGAGTAATGTGGTGCAAGTGGCAGGATGGACTATACCACAAGGCCATCACTTGGTTTTTCCAAAGAATTTTGTTCAAGACCAAGGAATTTGTCCAGAAATAGCAGCTGCCTTGCAAGGAGGTACTCCGTACGATTTCTTTTCGCTTTTTCTGGATAACGAAATTTTAGACCTGATGGTAGAACAGACTAACCTTTATGCAACGCAAGTAATCTGCTCAGCTAACGATGTTCCACACTCATCAAGACTTCATAAATGGTCTCCTACTGACAGACAAGAAATGCAAAGATTTTTAGGCCTAGTCGGATATATGGGTCTTGTACGAATGCCAACAGTTCGCCACTATTGGAGCAGAAAACCCCTGTTTCGCAATGAATTTATATCAAGTGTTATGAGCAGAAATCGTTTCGAATTGCTTCTACAACTATGGCATTTTTCTGATAACCAAATATGCCCTGAAGGTGATCGTCTCTACAAAGTACAGCCCCTTATTGATAAACTTGTCAAAAAATTTCAAACCTCATATACTCCTGGTAGTACAGTCTGTGTAGATGAGTCACTAGTCCCCTTTCGAGGTCGCCTTGTTTTCAAACAATACATCCCTCTTAAAACGCATAAATATGGCATCAAAGTATTCAAGCTCTGTTCTTCAGAAGGCTATACTTATAACATGAAGGTATATTGTGGGAAAGAAAAGGATGCTGGTGCTAGCGTTCCAACGAATATTGTTTTATCTCTTGCTGAAAATCTGCTAGATAGTGGAAGAACTATCGTTACTGATAACTATTACACTAGCTTAGATCTAGCTAATAAATTACTCGATAGACAGACACATCTTATTGGTACCTTGCGATCCAACAGACGCGGTAACCCGAAGGAAGTTACGCAGAAAAAACTTCAGCGTGGCGAAATTGTTGCAAGGGAAAATGAGCGTGGCATATGCGTAATGAAATGGCGGGATAAAAGAGACGTATTACTACTGTCTACTAAACATACAGATGTCATGCAAGATATTCAAATCCGAAATGAAACAAAATCTAAGCCTTTGGCTATTATTGATTATAATAAAGGAAAAAGTTCCATAGATCTTTCCGATCAAATGGCATCTTACAATTCCGCATTACGTAAGACCATCAAGTGGTACAGAAAGCTAGCTATAGAGGTAATTTTTGGTACCTGTATGGTCAATGCGCATTACTTTTATAAAAAAATTACTGATTCGTCGATGTCTATAACAGATTTCCGCGAAAGCGTTGTGATGGACATGATGTCACAAGTCCAAGGTAATATGAGTGACGATCAACAGATTTCAGCATCTAATTGTTCGACTAATAAGAGGAAACGGAATTCAGAACATTGTTTTAGGAAAAAAGAGGGAGCTGTACACAAAGTTCGAAAATATTGTGTCGGCTGTTATAATAAAAAAACCAAAGGTGAAATAGCCAAAAACAATGTAAAAAAAGTTAGCACTTATTGCAGTGACTGTGTTGATCAACCTCATTTTTGCTTAGAATGTTTTAACATATTTCATAAGCAATAATTATGTTTTTCTATGTTTACTGTCTCTAAAATATTTTATACGCATTTATTGTTCTGAAAAGTGTGAAAAATAAAGTATTACGCTTCACTTTAGTACTTTTATTTATCAAAAAATGATATAATAAAAAATACATGTGAAACTTGATTAAACAAAAATATATAAAAAAATTATTATGTATGCATCATCAACTGGGGCCAAGCGGTCCCATATGAGCCGCTAAATGTATTAAATGAGCGGTCCGGTGGCCTGAACAGCACGAAATAGCAGTCACCGACAGGTGGTCCCGAGGGACCGCCGTGGCCTGATGGTAAGGGAAGCTGGCGGGCCCCTGGGACCGACGTGGCCGTTAACGTGTTAATGAGTCGACAATAGCTTGACAGGTATCCCGAACTATTAGACTTATTGCTTGCTTCGATACTCTGAATAAATATTGCAAACTTGTGAAAGAATCCCCGCTTGCCAAGAATCTCAGAGTGATGCATAATCTATCCGTAACTGTGATCGCTTGTCTAAATTTGGTATCAGTCTTTGCAATCATTGGTCCAATTCTTCTTAATAAATGCTCGAAATCGGTCGGCGACATCCGAGTGAAGTTTTTGTATTTTCCACTAATATGTTGAAACTGTAAATCACGCAGCAATGCTCTTCCGCCATGTAGGTTTCGGTTCCTAAACAATTCTAGCTGCCACCAACGACGGCTCTGTCTTTTTTGTATCCTGTGTTTATTCATCACAATAAAACAAGCACATGTCGTAGCCACACTCTGAGCTATAACGGAGATGAGTTCTGGGTCCATGTCTGCACTGTATGGGAGTTCTTGACTAAATGAATCACAACGAGAAATGAAAGATCGATACGAGGATTGGCGAGACGATACGAGATCAAGATACAGTATCATAAAGTGTGGACGTGGTTTTTGGCCGAACTGTGGCTCACGCGATAAAAGATACGATATGGTCAAAATTGGCGTCCACACTTAAGATACGCATACTCGATACGATACGCCTGATACGGATACGATTACTTAATACAAATGTGGACTAAGCTTTACACGTTCACTGCCACCAACGCGGCTCCCGCGTTCTTATGTTCTTGACCATGTGCCAGGCACGCGGCTCCCGCGTGCTGTATCTGTGGTGATATATACGGCTGGAATTTTGTCGGCATACCGCACAATCAGTTTATTTCAGGCAGGCATATATTAAACAGGTGTATAGTTGTGAAAATAAGAATTGGTTTGCGTTTTGCTCTATTTCGTTTCTGCTGGCCTATATTTATTGTCTGAAGTGAATATACCAGGTAAGACGTGTTTAAATACTTATATTTTTTTCAATTTTGTTGGTAATTAAAATATAGTTATAGTGTCAGTAGTTTTATTATTCATTGTAATGAGCTTTTTTTATACAGTACAACGCGGCTACCGCGTTGACGGCATATGGCATAATTTTTGTTGCTTAGT